GCCTCGACCTCATCTCTGAGATCGCTGAGGACAAGGACAACTTCAAGAAATTCTACGAATCCTTCGGCAAGAACTTGAAGTTGGGTATTCACGAAGACGCACAGAACCGAAGCAAGCTCGCTGAATTCCTCCGCTTCTACTCCACCAAGTCCTCTGATGAGCAAATCTCCTTGAAAGGTACGTCTCCTATACTTTAATTCTGTCCAGAATGTCGCTAATGAGTGCTTGGATTAGACTACATCACCCGCATGCCCGAGGTCCAGAAGACGATCTACTATCTCACCGGTGAATCGCTCGCCGCTGTCCGCGACTCACCCTTCCTTGAGGTCCTCAAGCAGAAGGGCTTCGAAGTCCTCCTCCTCGTTGACCCCATTGACGAATACGCCATCACCCAGCTCAAGGAGTTCGAGGGCAAGAAGCTCGTCTGTGTCTCAAAGGAAGGCCTGGAGCTCGAGGAGACCGATGAGGAGAAGGCTGCCCGTGAAGCTGAGGCTGCTGCTTTCGGCGACCTCTGCACCGCTGTCAAGGATGCCCTCGGTGACAAGGTCGAGAAGGTTGTTATCTCCAACCGTATCACCGATTCCCCATGTGTTCTTGTCACTGGTCAATTTGGCTGGTCGTCGAACATGGTAAGTATCTCCATTTCCCGAAGATGTATTTTGCATTCTCATCACCGACATTCAGGAACGTATCATGAAAGCGCAAGCCCTCCGTGACTCGTCAATGTCCTCATACATGGCTTCGAAGAAGACGCTCGAGCTCAACCCGAAGAACCCGATCATCAAGGAATTGAAGCGCAAGGTTGCCGAGGACAAGGCTGACAAGTCTGTTCGCGACTTGACCTACCTGTTGTTCGAAACCTCGCTCCTCACTTCCGGCTTCTCGCTCGAGGACCCGACATCGTTTGCCAAGCGCATCAACCGTATGATTTCGTGAGTGTCTTGCATTTGCAATGTACTATTTTTATACTGAACATGCGTTTCAGGCTGGGTCTTGATGTTGACGAAGAGGAGTCAGAAGCAGTGCCCGCTGCTGAGGCTCCTGCTGCGTCAGAAGCGGTGGCAACGTCTGCGATGGAGGAGATCGACTAGAGGGATATAGAGGCGTCGCATTTTTCTTTGCTTTCATCTGGTTTTTGACATCCACGCACACACACATACGTACATTCAATTTGCATCCTGAATACTGTATAATCACGTTACAAAAATAACATTTCCTTCCTGACTCGATATTTGAATTTTGTGTGAGAAAGCTGTCTATGAAGCTCGTGTGAAAGTGTGTGACCATATATGAAGGGGTTGGGCGTGGAAGCAGCGTGCATCAGCCCTGTCCTTCTTAACCGTGACCTTGCCCTCATTGTTCTCCCTTCCCCTAATCGACCGTACAATGCCCGTCCTTCCTTAGTCCCCATTCATATACTCTGTCACAATATCTTATATACAATCATCTATTATCCCCTCTGCAATCTCCGCTACCACCACCACCACAATGCCCACCATTGTTGCCCCCCAGCCTACGCGTCCAATGTCTCTCCTATCACTGGTGAGTTGCTTTGGCCCATACGCTTCCAATGCGCCGGTCTAATACCACATTTCCTAGTCAACACCACCGCCCCCTATGCTGGGCTCCCCCATCGAGCTCACGCGTCGCGACACAGAATCTCATCGCGCTACTTGGGTAGGTCTTCGAGATAATATCGCAGCAGACGTCGTTTAACGATGCGCAGGCCCCAAAACAGCGACCAGCTCGAAGGGGCCCCCGTCGCCAGCTCTTCTCGTCGTACAGCCGATCGCACTGTTGCTGCGTCGAATGCCCCATCATTCCATCGTCGCGTCCACCGCATTTCAGCGTGACTGATCCCCTCGATCTGCCGTTCCAGCCGATCACCCAGGAGGTAGTCCTTCCCTCCGCCGGCCCCGGCCCTATCCGCCGACGCAAAGCTTTGACACGCCCTAGCCCCCTCGAACCGCCTCGAAACCACCCGTATTTGCTTGACATCGACATCCCATCATCGCGCGATCAACGTCCGATCACGCCGACGCGTAGCGCTCCCCCTAATAGCCAGATCCAATTTCGCAACCTCATGCCTGTATTATTATGCGATATCGACGACGAATCACCGTCGCCTCGCTCACCTGCTCTGCAATGAACAACAAACATCATATCAGCCAATCGAATCGACCATTTACTGCCCATTACGCTTTCGCAATCACTGCAACGATATCATCGCCAACTGGCCATTTACTTCCAGAAACTGCATCCATCTAACGTTATCGCTCCGAATCGACCAGCATTCGCATCATCGAATCTCCTGTTGTATTTTTTCACGCTTTATTTTATCATCTCAACGCATCGGACGTTGACGTCTCGAGTATCTCGCATTGCTTGAATCCTCATTGTCTTCATCACCAGCTTGCTTATCACGCATCATCTGCCAACAGACACGTATATTTATCCAGTATTTAGTAGCTAGCTCCACCGACGCTTCCATAATTGTCCATGTAATTACGACTCCTATACGCCTATATATAACGGCTTGCACTGCAACAGACATTCTTCCTGATTCCATACTTACGAGAGATCGAGGGCAGAGAAAGTCCAGAGTCCAGACGAGGACGAGCGTTGCGACGCAACCGTAGCAGTGAGAACACGGATTGTAGCGTTAATGAACTCGAGCTGGCATTATAATATATCCTACATGAAAGCTAGATTTGGCAACGAAATGGTGAACCAGATTTACAAATCGTTGATATTGATTTTATCGGCGGCCCAACTGAACTAGCCCCGCAAATAGAGCGCGACTGTATCATCCATTCGAATGACTTCACCCGCAGAACGGTCAGAACCAGGCCAAGTAATGCCCGGGTCCCTTCATTCTTGTCTGTGGGGTATTCCGCCACGCCGGCCTCGCCTGCCCAATCGAAGTCGACTATACTTTCGCTCGTCTCAACTACCTTCATCTTCATTGGTACGATAACGGCAGAGGGGCCTGCTGAACATCGAATTCGATCATGGTGATGTTATTCGCGTGCCGGCCACCGAGCACAAAATGTGCGGCCTTCATTAACGAGATCGCCCGTTCGATAGAAGCCTTTACTTGCGAAAGAAGGCTTGGTACGAGTGGAGATCCGTCTTCTTGTGTGAAAACAGAGGCCAAGGCTTCCGGCGATCGTCAAGGTACTCCGTGACGCTATGTGGACGGTATTCCTTCGAAATTTGCAGCTATGATCGGCGGTGCGTTGAGCGAGCTTGACGGTAAACTAGTCGGCGGGCAAGTCAAGGGAGGATTTCCCTGTCCACTAGACCGTCCATCGCAAGGAGGAGGTAGGTCCACTGGCTTGTAATAATATTTGAAAATGTTCAATACGCTCCATCGCGATATGCAACAAAGGCTTCTGAATCAGAGAAATAAATTCTTCCATAACTTCAAGTTCATTCCCGTGACGGTAAATCTTTTGCCAGAAGCTGCGCCTCGCCGGTGGGGCTCCCGCTCCCGTCGACGGCGAGGAACTGTGGAAGTTATGAGCCCCTAGGTTATTGCCTGTAATGGGAGGGTGAGGTCTGCATGGGGTAACCCAGGGTAAATCCTTGGGCGCTACTATTACTAGGCGGTGGAGAACCTCACCAGTTCCATCACCAACAACCTTCATGACTAGAGTTATAAACTTTGGAGCTGGGCCATCTGCTCTGCCACATTCCGTTCTCGAAGAAGCAGCCAAAGGCTTGCTCAACTTCCATGGCACTGGCATCGGCGTAGCTGAAATTTCCCATCGGTCAAAGGCATTCACAGGATTTCTGACCAACCTTGAGTCATTAATCCGAACGCAACTCGACGTGCCAGCCACTCATTCCATCCTCTTCACTCAAGGCGGCGGTACTGGCCAGTTCTCTGCCGTAGTCTTGAATTTGTTGGCCAGACACCGTCTTCTGCATCCTGATCTAACCGATGCGGAGCGCCACCTAGACTATGTGATCACAGGGTCCTGGAGCAAGAAAGCCGCAGATGAAGCGAAGCGGCTTGGAGGGGGCACTGTCAACATCGCCGTCGATTCCCGTCCATACTCAAAGGACGGGAAATCGTTTGACAACATCCCCACTCATGACCGCTACGCTTTCTCACCCGATCCCGCATTGATCTACTACTGCGAAAACGAAACCGTGGACGGCGTGCAGTTTGGCTACGAAGAAGGGGACAAGACGTCGTTCCCCTTCGAGTTGTTCCCGCAGGGTGCCCTGCTGCCGCTGGTGGCAGATTACTCCTCCTCATTTATGAGTCGGCCCATCCCACGTCTCGCAGACCATGCAGTCATCTATGCAGGAGCGCAGAAAAACATCGGCCCAGCTGGCCTAACTATTCTCATCGTGCGTCAGGACTGTCTCGTGGACGTAGACGCTGCTGCGAAACTCGGGGCCGTCCCCGTTCCGTTGTCAATGTCGTACAAAGTGTTGGCAGACGCCAAGAGCTTGTACAACACGCCTTCCGTGCTGCCGATATACATCGCCGGACTAGTGCTCGAAAGGATGAAGGAAAAGGGTGGAATGCCATATTACGAAGACGTGAACAGACGAAAGGCCGAGAAAGTCTATGCTGCGCTGAAACGGGGTGAGGAAAAAGGTGTCATGCAATCCAAAGTCAAAGAAGGCGGCGGACGTAGCTGGATGAATGTCGTGTTTGACATCGTCGGTGGTCCAGATGCTCTGGGTCGATTCAACTCTGGGGCCGAGGCGAAGGGTCTGCACGAATTGAAAGGACATCGTTCAGTTGGAGGTTTGTTCTATTGTTGCAACCCCCATTCGCTTAGCGAACTGACATCCTTGCCAGGCATTCGGGCGTCCCTCTACAACGCCATCACAGAAGATCAAGTGGACCAACTAGTAGCTTACATGGATGAGTTCACGAATGCGAATTAAAGAAAGTCCGAGTGAAATGTAGAATAGTAGAAACTAAACGGTATGCTTGTGACTGGCGACTTCAACGGTTCATAATCCTCGGCTCTCAGGTCACTTTGCCGGAGTGGTTAACGGGATCGCCTGCTAATGGAGTCACCTCCTTAGCTTAGCGGTTGGGCTTTGCCCGCGTGTGTTCGAATCGCACAGGTGACGCTTTTTGCTTCACAATATGAACGACCGTAAATAACAACAGCACAGTGTGACATATCCTCATAGATGACCTTTCCAAGCTTTCCATAAATACAGAGTCGCGAGCAGAGCAACGAAGAGAGAAACGAAGCTAGTCCAGAATGTTGGAATCCAACAAGAAGTGCCGATGCAAAGTCCACCGTCCACGCTCCGTCTGGCTGACACAAAAGCGTATAGGTATGAGAATATTGGTGTGCCGATGAAGGGAGCGTATGTGAGAGCCCCGAAGTTGCGGCCAAGCGACGGTACGCCCCATATCGCAGATACGATGCTTGGTCTGCAAAGCCTCAACGTTACTCCATTGAAGGCAGAGATGTGCACTTACAACAATGTGAAGATGGTACCATACGACATCCCGATGCCGGCGCTATGGATTTGATACAAAGGTAAGATGGTGCCCTTGGAAGGTTAGTTCTCCGTCGTTACCTAAGTATCCAGATTTTGTGTGGATCATCAATGGTGAAGATCATCACCAAACTGCTAATGACCAACAATGCAGTTGGTACCGATATGAATGCGACCCTGCTAATGAAATGGTGACTTGGAAGGGCTCGAAGACCCGAAGGCAAGTGAGAAGCGACTGGCGAAATGAAATCGGCCAGGGGCCCTACCACGATTCTCGATGCCGTATTCGAGAAGGAGATCAAGCGAACTTGTTGGGAAGCTATTGCTTCCATTGATTCTTGACTGTGTACCGTGGATTTCGAAAGCGAAAGAACGATCGTGCCAATGTTAGAAATGATCATCTCACACTTTGGTAACGGTTCGGTGAAGTGTCATAAAGGATCGGGAGAGAATGGACGCACGTAACCGAGTGTTAGAACACAAGCGAGGAACAGTATCCAGAAGAAGCGATCAGAAAGGAGGCCTAGTAGGCTGTCATCGCGAGGGGGAGGCTGAGTCCCTGGTTCACCTTGAAGCAATGGTGTATTTTCATTTGGTTGGGCTGGGAGAAGGGGCGTCGGCTTGGGGATTCTCAGGGTAACGAAACCGCAAAGATGCACAACCCCAGTGCAGATAGCCAGAAATTGCAGAAACGGGATTACCTGCAACCCGGATGCAGTGGTGAAGAGGTTGGATGCAAGGAGCGACAGAAATAGGGGGGATAAACCAAAAACAGCCGTGCTCAGTCCCGACGCAATGCCCGGGTGATTGGGGAAGCATTGAGCTGCTGAGAAGAGCAGTGAAAAGTATCTGCGTGGCGGGAAAACATAAGACAAAAGCTCCACTGCGTCAGTGAAGGCACTGACGAGAACACCGTGCCCAGACCGGCAACGAAGAAATAGAGTGTGAGTTTGTAGAATGTGGTGGACGAGGAGACGCTGATGTCGTCGGGCGCCATTGATATTTCATGGGAGAAACACGTAAAGGCAGTTGAAAACATAACCGAGGCGACGAGGGAGCAGGCGGCCGGTCCATAATAATCAATCATGTAGCCAACGAGGACTGAGAAGGGGTATTGTCCGACCATACCGCTGTGCGTATGCGAATATTTTATATGGTAAGGCGGGAGTTGCATGGTTTCGAAGTTCACTTACGCCAGGACAATCGTGGTCAGTTGAGGTTGTGTTAGTTTCAGATGAGACACCAGAGCTGGTGAGATGATGGGGAATATGAATATCCCACCGGCGAAGAGGCTGAACCGTGGGTCAGTATACTAGTTTCAATATTTTCAAGTCAGAGCTCACGCATTGACGATAATCGAGCAGCATGCCACTCCTTTCCTGACACCAGGCAGTGATAGACGAAGTTCCATAAGAGGTATTAGCGCCGATCACGAAGCTTGGTTCGGAAGCTTGTGCGGGCGTCGCCTTGAGTTGCAAACAGGCCAAAATAAGGGACAATTGCGGCCTTGTTCATTTCACAGAAGGGTCACTTCGATACAAAGCACACAGGGCATTGTTCTCGCCCACAATGGTTCTCAGGCCACTGGCTTTAGCTCAGTCTCCATCTCAACCTCTGGGAGGTAGCCGCTGCTTTCTTTCTTCCTGGTGGACGGGCCTTTCAGTTTCTTCAACTCATATCCTTCAATTTTTCTCGTCAAGGCTGGTCCTAAAGTCATGCAACCTTTCTCGCCGTTATTCACAAAGTTAAGGACCCTTCTTTTCTGTAAGTCTCGTCCATCTTGTTTATCTTGTCGTTGCTTACTGTAGTGTCTAGCGTGTATTATCGGCCTCAGCTTTCTTTGGATCTTGTTGCTGTCCTTGGACATATTTCTCCAATGGGAGGTTTCGGGCACCACTGATAGTGTGTTGTATTTCCCGATTCCTGACCATTCGCGCTCATGGTTATTCAGAGTCTTTCCTGGTCGTGTTTCTCTTGATCAATGTCATCACGATAATAATGCTTCCAATCATGTACGTTTGTTTCCTGCATTGCCCGTTCCCAACGAAGTAATCGTGGCTATGATAGGATGTTACGAGAGTTCCGGCCATGGCTAGATGCCGCACGGTTCCTTTTACTTTCTTTATGCCACATAGGTGAGCTATACCCGCTCACTAACCGCAACGGTATCTCATCGCCGATATCTAGGATTTGCTGTGATGTTCTCTTTTTGGAACCCAAGAATCCAGTGCCCCGATCGCAGTGAGTTCATCGCTTTCTCCAATTCTTCGTAAATAAACCTTGACGCGAAATCCGTTAGCCCCCGATCAAGAGGGTGTTTGCAAGTTGCTGAATTTGTATCTCCTCATTGCAAGTTGGATCATTCCGGTTCTTTGTATGACGTTTATCCATCTCCAAAGTATCAGATAAACTGACGCAAAGTCACCATCTAGTGATAGTCTACATGTCCGGACTCGCTTGCATGGTTTCACGCCGTCGTGCACGCGCGAAGCTTGAGGAAGATGTCGAAACACCCTCGGTCACAACTGAGGTTGACCGAACGTCCACGCAACCCACGCTGAAGTTCCCCCTCCCTGCTGTGCATAGAGACTCCGTCCAACGGTCCTCTATTTCAACGGATGTGGAGTCTGGGAGCGCCGAAAAGTCGAGGTTCAGCACCAGTACACGGAGATCAACCAGGCTGTCTAAACGCCTGCCTGATTTCTATTTTTCATAGACGATTTTGTAGCAACAGACTTTCTTGTAGCCATAGAACATTGTACAATCATTACATCTGCAACTCTGCTATGTGTCTTGGCGTCAACATTGTCCAAGTTTACCGGAGGCAGTCCTATAAATAATCCGACAACCACGTGAAGCCAACCAACGCCATGTAATGTTAGATGGTGTTCAGGAATTTCACCCAACGCCGTTGTAACCTTCCTCCACCACCTCGCCGTCAGTGGCCCTCCCTATAGTCCGACCCATCGGCTATATCTGATCCTGGTGTACCTGTCGTCGCCCTCTCTCTTTCCGTTTCCACAGTACTTCCATGGACGACCCCAGCTGGGATGCAGCAAGTGTTAAGGTTGGTTCCTCTGTTACCACGCCTTTGGTCCGTTAGCTGACGTTCGCAGACTTTACTACGCCTCACGAGCCAGAAACTAGGACAAATACAAGACCGAAAAGATGCCCAGAGTCAAATTACACGACGTGATATTGCGACTTTGTTGCAGCAAGACAATGTTGCGCTGGCCCGAGCTAAGGCACAGAACGCCATTCTGGAAGACTCAAAAGGGGACCTACTAGAGCTCCTCGAGATGTATGTGGGGATGCTGCTTGAGCATTTCGGCCAGCTGGAGCAGGGTTACGGGGTTGCTTCCCCGCCAGATGGCAAAAGTCCTTCACCGAGTCCCATTGTTACGGAGGCGGCGTCTTCCATAATATTTGCGGCACCGCATACGGAATCCAAAGGTGTGTAGCTCGAAATCCCTCACGACGATTTACCTACTTGTTTTGTAGAGCTCAATACCGTGCGGGACATCCTCATTCAACGGCTCGGGCCTGATTTCGCGCGTGCAGTAGCTGGTAATCGCGACAATTATGTGCCCCCAAAAGTATGTGATATAATCAATCATGTATACGACCCTCTTGAGATGTCTAATGTCCGTAGGTCATCTCTGCCTTGTCGACCCCTCCCCCTTCTGCCGCGAAACTGGATGATTACCTCCTGAACATAGCCAAAATATATCGCATTAACTGGGAACCAGACTTGCGTCGGCAGGACACGTATGTATCCCGCTTGGCTCCAAGATATAGCACGGCTTATGTTCTGCAGTGTGGATCCTTTGTCGGAAATCATGGATCCTGAGTTGACACCGGTTGTTGACCTTCCCAGGTTGCGCAAGCTGTGCATGCATGGTGAGTCGCATCATTATCTGTCCCCCTACGACCGCTCATGTGTATCACGCGTCAAGGTATCCCCGATGAGCCTGTCTGGCTTCGTCCGCGCTTATGGAAGTTGGTGCCGTCCTGTTGCTTTCATCACCCTCCTCCCTGACGCGCGAATAGGCTTCTTCTTGGGTTCTTACCCGTCGTCAAGTCTTCATGGTCAACAGAACATCAAAAGTATCGTGAAAGTTATTATGTATGCGTGCTGTGTCCCACCTCCATCAATACGCGTGCTAACATCATCGTAGGATTTGATACGCAGACTCTTACCGCCGATAGCAGGATCACCGCCCCCTTCAAGACCCCCCAATTCTTCGGACTCCCTTTTGCTTGTAGCCCACAAACACTTGCTCTACGTCGCCCCTGCTTTATTTGCAGGGCTTGAGACTGGGCCAGAAGATGCCGAACGATGTCCTCTCGATCCATCAGCCCCAGAGGATATTCGAATCGCGTGCGCTACAGCGTTGGACAATCGTCTAGTGAAGCTTCTTGGTCCAGCGGAGGTCGTGCCAACAACGCCTGAAATACGTCTGGAGCTTGACTCTAATGACGAACCCTCAATGTCGACTCACGACTCTGCCGAATCCTGGATAAGTCGATCAACGACATTGCTACCTTCTAAGCCTATCGGGATCGCGGACGTGCATCCTAAACACGCATCAGCGCTTCTCCGTTTGCTGTATCTCCAC